GAAAATTACAGGCCTCTCTCATCTTTTTAAGTGGGGGGACTTGCACAATTGGTGGCTGACTAAATACTTTTTTGCCCCACTGTAGTTTTTAGGAGTCAAACAACGTTTGGATATGAAACAAAATTTATGTTGCCATTACAGTACTGTTTACCCCTATGGCTAAATGGTGGCCAAAAGCTAGAGGTCTTTGTGGGAAAGAGGGGGTGCAGTGGGTGGGGTAATGATACAGGGTAGGCAGGATTGCATCACACACACACACAGGCAGGTCTAGGATTTCCCTGAGTTTTTTTCAGATGTATTAGGAGGGAGGGATTTTTTTATTCCCTCCCCCTTGGATGCCATATACTATAGCTTTCATGGTTCTTATCTCAAAAAGTAATGAATCTGTAGGCTACAGCTAGATCTGAATCTGTTGTTACAGCAGCAATGAATAGACTAAATTCACCTGCTTTTGTTCAGCTCCTAACATTTTTGCCAAACTAATATGAAAAATTAGCATTTTCCACAGTGTAATGCGGTCTAGTGTTTGGAGGGGCTGTTTACACTAACAGGATGAGATGCCAGTTTGTGTTTCCTTCCAATTATTTAATACTTGTTTGAACCACTTGCACTGACGATGGTGTCACACCAGATTTTCTACAGTATTATTGAATGTTGTTATGCTGTCTCTACTCTCCCCTTCTCTTTCAAAACTGTTATTTTAAATGGCAAGGTGTAAGCTAGAATGTTATTTTTCTTTTCCTATTGGCTTCCTCTTCTCAGTTCCGAAGCCAGTTTTTAATATGCTACAGAGTTTCAGGGGGTACTAAGTTATGTGCAACATGAACATTAGCATCAATCTGCTTTGAAATGGCATGGGAAGCAACTGACATTAATTGAGAAGCGCTTTCAAATGACTTCTGAAACTTATTAGTTTGCCTGGAGACTTTAAGCTGGTTGGGTAAAGAGAGTTAACATGCATTTAAAATGTCAGATCTTTGCAACTACAGTACAGCTGTTGCCTGGGTAAATTTCAGGAACATCTGCCTTTGTTATTTTACATCTCAGCATTTTCTAACTTTTACTGATCAATGGAAAGAAGTTGATATTATAGTTCAAAATGCTGAATATTTTGCCCTTTTTCTATGGCCTTAATTTACATTTGCTTTGCTTCTACTGGCTTTAAATCAGAAAGACCTTTTCAAGAAAGCTCAGAAAGAAAGAAAAGAGTAGGTATCATCTGCATGAGTAGGTATCATCTGCAAAATCTAGCAATTTTTTTTAAAGTGTTAATCATCTAAAGGATAGAGTGTTAATTGGTTAACTGTATATTATTAGATGCTCATATACATTCCTTTCACCTGGACTCTTCCTCCTCTGTTCATTTACTGCTCTCTTCCCTGCAAAGTTCCATATGTTAATATCTATTATGATCACTATGTAAAATGTTAGTAGCATGATTTATTTGATTATTTTATTACAGTAATAAAACATATATGGACACTTACAATTATGCAACAATAAACAGTCATCTCAAATTGCTTCTGAAATATATGAAAGGTGTCCCAAATTGTGGTGTTACTTGTTCACTCAGACTCGTTTTATTTATAGTGGGAACCACATGAAACTCTGATAACATGATTTTGATTACATAATTTTACATTTCGACACTATTGTGTAAGTTTTAGCCACTAATTAAATATTTCATTTCAGTGGGTTTTTTTCCCCATAATGAGCGCCTTCTGAATGTGATGAATTGCAGTTCCTCTAATTTTCAATCAATTGTCCAACACATATGGACGGAACCATATTAGGGAAAGCTAGTTTGATATTAATATGGTAATCTATATGCTTACCAATATTTTTGTGTTGTTTCTTTATTTCTTTGTTTTAAGCATTTATAATAGTGACCTACAGTTTTTTAAAAATTGTTTTTGTTTTTATTTTTACTCTAGACAAAGGTGAAAATGGGGAACCATATCAGAGGAGAAAAGTTGTGGGAAATAGTCAGCCGGATCTTCCAGAACTATCCCAGACCCTCAAAGACAGCATTCCTGTTCCAGCAAACAGCAGTTGGAGGCGGATCATGCTGCTCATCTTAGCAATAACAATACACAATATTCCTGGTAAGCCCTGTTTTACTCTTTTGTGTCTATAACTCTCAGACCTGAAAATGCTATAAATAGGGCTTTCACTATGATCTTAAGTAGCATCAAAGTAATATTCTAGGTGCTTTTCTTATTTGATAAATAAGGTTAATAAAGTGACTGCTAATAGGTTCAGTAGAGTGACTGATGTTGGCATTCTACTTATGTCTGTAATACAGGAGTGAGGCATGGCCTTCTAACTTTACTTTGAATTGAACTCAATTCCTAATGAGAAAAAAAACCCAAAATGATGTTCATGTAATCACCAGTAGTTGAACTCAACTTAAGGAGACTTTATCTTACAGGATATACCATGAAACCCACTGTTCAATGACAGAAAGTATGAAACCCCGTTTAACAGTGATTCCTTAGTAATGACAACTTGCAAAAAAAAAAAAAAAAGAGTGGGATAGAATAGAGGACTTCAGAAACTCTGTCAGTTTAAAAAAATATTCATGCCGTGGATGCAACAAGAGATATTAATCTCTTTGGCAGCTGCCTAAAAATTGAAGTTATTCTTTACAAGTACATTTCTCATAGTTTTCTTTAGCAAGATTTATTGAGGTAAATGGAATGAGGTTACAAGAATTACAGCAACTGAACTATTTTCCAATTAGAACCAATATATCACCTGTACATTACGGCTGAAGCTTTTTGATATCCTTTCTAACAGCCTATAACCTGGCAAGGAGACAGGTCTCTTCACTGATAATAGAGAATTTTGAAGCTCTTTGTTTAGATAATTAAAGATTCTCCTAAATCTTTGTCTGTGAGCAAGCAGTTATAGGAGACATACTTTGCCATTAAGTTCTTCCCGTATGCCTTTTCACCTTTCGAGTCTACCATAAAACTCTGAAACTTCTCCCTTCTAAATGCTAACCAGGGCTGAACCTGCTTAGCATTTTTTCAGTTCAACTAAAGTCATCTAGGTGCTGCTGCTATTGCTGTGCCACAGATCGTTCTCTTGAAATGTATCGAAGTCTAAAGAAATCAATTTGCCATTGATTTTGATGGCAGTGAAGAGATTGATCTTCACTGCAGCTTGAACCAAGTCCAGTTCTGCTTCACTCAATCAGCCAAAATCAGATAAGTAGACAAAATAACAGTAAAGTAATTTAAATAAACTGATAACTGAATAGTTTGAATGCCACATTCCCATACATTTAAATATTTTAGAGGATTTGGCTAATATTAATGCATGCAAAAAGATACGTTGCTGGACAAAATGGCTACAGATAGATACTATCCTTAAAACTGCCTATTTCTTTTGGTTTTATGTTTAAACCAAACTGCACTCTACATGGGGCTGCCTTTGAAGACCATCTAGAAGCTACAGCTGTTTCAAATTGTGGCAGTGCAAGTAGTAATGGGCACTCCTTGTTGTGCCCACATGTCACCTCTGCTGTGTAAGCTGCATTGGCTACCAATTGGCTTCTGGTTGCAATTCAAGGTGCTAGTTGATATCTTTAAAGCCTTCATGGCATAGGGCCTGGTTATCTGAGGGACCACTTCTCTCCCATTGTTTTTGCCTGTGCAGTATGTTTGGGCAGAGTGAGTGTACTCCCTTCCGTTAAATGTTGCCAACTTGTGAGACCTAGGAAGCGTGCCTATTGTGTCACGCCCCCCGCCCCTCTGAAACGGCATCTTCCCAGAGGTACTGATGGCACCCATTCTCCTGAGGTTTCAAAAAGTCCTTAAAACCTGGCTTTGGTCCCAGGCCTGGGGTTAATGTGTGTGGGGGTGGGGGAGGCTGTTGTGTTGCTTTTTATAGTGGCTGTTTTAGTTTGAGTTGTCTTATTTTGTTTATGTTTTTAATTGTTATAACTTTGTATTAGAATTTGTAAGCCACCCAGAGTCTGTTGGAGTGGGTGGCCATAATAAATTCAAGTTCAAAAACAAACAAACAAATAAATAAATGTCCTCCTTGAATAAAAATGTGGGAATTTTATGAAATGCAACTTCCCATATACAAATCAGAAAAGGTAATTTGAGGAGGACTTTTGTCAAAACCACACCACCAAGACATATGAACCAATGTTCAAGGAGCATTTTCTGATGACAGAATCTTAAGCCTCGAGCTATTGATGGAAAGAAAGCAGAAGCAGCTGAAGCTAATGAGTATGCAAGAAGCTTCACAAATTAAGTGGGACTGAGCTTTGGAACGGCTCAGCAAGAGTCAGGGCTCAGTTAATTTTCCCCCTTCTTGCAGAAACTGCACAAGTGGAATGACATTTATACCCTACTCAATCTCTGGTGTAAAATGTACTGAGAAACTGCGGTAGTGTGAAGTTGAAGCTCTAGCTTCAACTTGAAGGGTAGATTGCTACGTGATAAGATCAACAGGGAATTCTTTATCTTGCTTCCCTTTGGAAGGCCCTCTACCGATCAAGTTCTTTCAGCCATTTAGTTCGTTACATGTTTGTAATTGAAAGACCACAGAAGATTGTTCTCTTCTTGCTCTGGGTAACATTATAGGAAGGAAATGATCTTGCATCTCTATACTATATATGATTTTACATCTTCCATCTTGATATGAAACATGAGACCATAGGAAAAAGATTTAAAAGATTTTGACCTAGGATAGTGTTATTTGTAGAGAAGATTACTCTATGACATGGGATTATTTTTAAAGAGAAAGTGGTTGAAAGGAAGGCATATTGGACAAAAACAGTTAGCAAGGAGGAAAGCTTGGATCAACTCTTGTTTTGCTGTTGGTTCTGCTCTATATATTGGATCTTCCTACTTCTATATAGCTGCAGCAGTTGGGATTTCCAGAATAAATCTGCCATTAAATATCAGATTTGGTGAACAAGTTAATCTGTTCATGATCTACTGAATAAACCAATTTGCTGCTGAGTTCTATATATTATGATTTATTTATTTATTTATTTTTCAAATTTGTATGCCACCCATCTCCCCCAATGCCTGAATGATGTATATTAATTAGAAGAGTGTGTGTGTATAAAACTAAGCTGCATTTATGGTTCAAGGAACTTCATGTATCTATAATATTAAGCTGCTTGTATGGTTTAAGGATTTCTCATTTCTCTGCATGCTACTTCTGTTTGTTTTGTTCTTTGGCACTGGGAAATTCACAACAGGTTTCTTACTGGATGCTGACCTTTAACATGATCCATATTTTTTAGCTCTTTAAATCCCAGTCAAGGCATCAGCAGATAGGAATAGTAATTCATCTTCATAATAAGCATCGTAATTCTGACTTGTGTGTGAGGTATATAGCAAAAATGAAAAATTTTTAACAGCTTCATTGAAAATACCAAAGAAAGTCTGCTTTAAAATAAAGAAAATAAGAACTAAAGCTTCTGCTTGATAATACTAGGGCAGATATCCATCAGTACTTCCAAGGGTAGGAATTAAGTAGGAGGTCTTTCAACTATAAGGCAAAGACATCATTTTGGCCCAAAGATAAGAAAAATGTTATAATTTGTTAGCATGTGAGTATAAGAAGGTCAGTATATCTGTAAATTAATTTCAGTGCTTATATTCCAGAAAGCATATGCTGTTTTGTGAGCTAAAACCAGAAGGCCACTATCCCTCTCCTGCTAGTCAAAATTGGGCAGGTCAAAAACTTAAGGGTGAACTGAAGCATGGAAGATCAGGTCACACTCTTGACAAAAGCTTTTGTGAGTTGCCCAGAGTTGCTTAAGATGGGCGGCCATATAAATCGAAGGAAGGAAGGAAGGAAGGAAGGAAGGAAGGAAGGAAGGAAGGAAGGAAGGAAGTTATTTCATAAGTGGATCAGAAGAACTATGGGCTACATTTTTAATAAGGATGTCACTTCCTTCTCCTGACTTTAAATCATCATAGCCTCCTTGCCACTCCTCGGTATCTTTTTGGGGTGAAGTTCCTTTGTTGTACTGTGTTTTTTTCTTTTACTTTTTCCTGTGACAGTGACTGTTCTACTTACAACAGCTGTTCACATTATAACTTTTCTAGCCTAGAGTTGTGATTATATGGAAAAGATGCACCTGTAGAGTTCTGCCTGTGAAGTAGCTGTTAGTACTGATCCTTACTGATGGTACTGTGTTGTTTATAACCTTCAGAGGAAGTGTTTGAAGTGTTTTTAAAGCTCAACCACAGAATAAAATCCTTGAAATCAGGCAACAGTCAATTTAAGAGTACATCTTAGTTTTTACCTCTTAAAGGTCACTTTGTTAGAGCTGGGAACTGTAATTGGACTTCATCCTTCTTGCAAACTGTCAAATGTAATTTCAGATAAGGGTGGAGTGAGAAGGGGGTATATCTTTCTGAATGCTACCCTGCTACTTTGTCAGCTGGGCAACAGTGAGCTATTTTTACTGTCACTCAGGATGAAAATAGAGAACTTCTATAAAGAGAAGACAATCCCCTCTTCACAATAGGTTAATTGTAATAATCTCACTGTTGCTAGAGTGAGGTCTTGAAAGGGCCTGCCTAACCTTTTTAATCTTCTTGTTCAATAGAAAGCTACCTTCAGACAATTACAGAGGCCCCAGAATGATCTCCTCATACTTAAAGGTCATGGCATTAATGTATTTTTTTCCCTCCCTAATGTTGCTAGCAGTGTGTGAGAACCGCACCTTTAGCATGTGTGTTTCAGGTCAGTGAAATAATAGTGTATTTTACCCTGAGCTTTAAACCCCATTCCAGCAATGTTCTTTCTCTCCTTTACCTTTCAGTATTTAGTAAAATGTAAGTTTCTGTTCTCATGAATTAAGGCTTTTTAATAATTAAAGTTCAGTGTAATTAAAAATGCTATTGAATCCTGCTCTTCGGCTAAAATGCTTGGACTTCCGTAAACTGACAGGGCTACGTACACAGGCCAAGCATACAGTTACAGATCTCTTGAACAAGTGAGCCAGGTTACAAACCATAAGTCTTTAAAGTGTTTGCTAAGTATAGGGTTGATTTGTGGGCTGACGCAGTTCTTCCCTCAGTTTTGAAAAGCATGGACTCAAACTGTTTGATTGTACCATGGC